ATAAAAGCTTTGTTTTCCATGTCTAAACTAACTTGCGCCTACCCGGTACTCCGAAAGTTTGTTTCTCTGTGTTTAAACTAACTAAACCCTGCAAAAGGTTTGTTTTCCATGTCTAAACTAACTTGCCGAAAGTTTGTGTTTTCCATGTCTAAACTAACTTGTGCCTACCCGGTACTCCGAAAGTTTGTTTTCTGTGTCTAAACTAACTAAACCCTACAACAGGTTTGTTTTCCATGTCTGAACTAACTTGCCGAAAGTTTGTTTTTTCTGTGTCTAAACTAACTGAACCCAATAAAAGCTTTGTTTTCCATGTCTAAACTAACTTGCGCCTACCCGGTACTCCGAAAGTTTGTTTTTCTGTGTTTAAACTAAACCCTGTAAAGGGTTTGTTTTCCATGTCTAAACTAGCTTGCCGAAAGTTTGTTTTTCTGTGTTGAAACTAACTAAACCCTATAAAAGCTTTGTTTTCCATGTCTGAACTAACTTGCGTCTGCCCTATTTGTTGGCGGGAAGCAGCAAGGGGATTCGAAGCAGTCCGTTCCGAAATTCAAGTCTTCCTAGTGCTAAGAGCTATGCCGTGGCATGGAACTTCCTCCTGTTTTACACAATGTCGTCTCCTCAGAACTGGCCGCTTCAAATGCCACAAGAAAAGATCGATTCTGAAATCCCGTAGAGGGTGAAAGGCAGGGAACACCGACATCCGAAGCATGGCCCCCGAACAGCAACTCAAGGCTGATTCATGCCGCCACGAGCAACACCACGAGACCCGCCGATGGTTCCCAACCTACGTACATCGGCTGCCAAAGGCACGACCAGCCGAGCAGTTTTCAAAAACCGTCGAACTGCCGGCTTCCTGCGGGTAGCTGCTGGCAAAAAGACCGCCTCCTCAAGGGGACCAACATTGGAACGTGCTTCTGCAAGTGAGGTGCTCAATTCGCGCGGGGTGCTGACAAGTGGCATTCAAGATCTTGTAAGGCTTCCACCGTACACATGCATCTTGGCTTGGCTTAGGGCTCTTGCAACTGGCCCTGCAAACAGGCACAACCGCCTCTTGTGGCTACAGAAGTTGGAGCAAGAGCGACGGCCTTTCCTGCTACAAGGGGAGTTGGGCCGGAGGCTCGGACGGTCGATAGGACACCCCTGCCAAGGCTCCGCTCTCTTTCGCACCGCAACTGCGGAAGACGGCAGAGCTGCTGAGGCCAAGGGCGAAAGTGTTCAGCACATATGCACCGCCGCCGGCACCTGCGAGGGAAGTAGTGAGGGGATTCGAAGCAATCCATTCCGAAATTTAAGTCTTCCAGATGCTCGGAGTAAAAGCACCCAGATTCATATTGCAAAGTTAGATATTTAAGTGTTAACAATCTAGACAACCGGAAATGTAATGAGGGAACTGTGTGGTTTGTATGCAGTTGAAACAAAGGCGTGCATCCTTTACGTTTGTTTCACCGATGACGCTAATTCTTTCTATAATATGAAGCGAGTCCTTTGCAAACAATGAACTGAAACAAAGCAAGCGAACGCAAGTAGCGCCCTTTTTGCTGTATTTAACTGAAGCAAAAGCGGAACGAAATCCGCATGCCAACTGATGAAAGAAAGAAAGCACGCATTGCACGCACTACGCTCTTTTCATTTGTCTTTCTTCATTCATAAAGCCCTTCAGAAGGCCAAAGACAGGGAACACAGACATCCGAAGCATGGCGCCCGAACAGCAACTCAACTGGCTGATTCATGCCGCCACGAGCAACACCACGAGACCCGCCGATGGTTCCCAACCCATGTACATCGGTTGCCAAAGGCACTATCAACAGTCGAGCAGTTCTCGAAAACCGCCGAACTGCCGGCTTCCTGCAGGTAGCTGCTGGCATAAAGACCGCCTCCTCAAGGGGACCAACATTGGAACGTGCTTCTGCAAGTGAGGTGCTCAATTCGCGCGGGGTGCTGACAAGTGGCATTCAAGATCTTGTAAGGCTTCCACCGTACACATGCATCTTGGCTTGGCTTAGGGCTCTTGCAACTGGCCCTGCAAACAGGCACCACCGCCTCTTGTGGCTACAGAAGTTGGAGAAAGAGCGACGGCCTTTCCTGCTACAAGGGGAGTTGGGCCGGAGGTGACGGTCGATAGAACACCCCTGCCAAGGCTCCGTTCTCTTTCGCACCGCAACTGCGGAAGATGGCAGAGCTGCTGCTGCCAAGCGCGAAATTTTTCCACACATAAGCACCGCCGCCAGCACCTTTGCGGGAAGCAGTGAGGAGATTCGAAGCAATCCATTCCGAAATTTAAGTCTTCCAGATGCTCAGAGTAAAAGCACCCAGATTTATATTACAAAGTTAGTTGTTCTCTTCTACCACCTAAGTTTGTGTTAACAATCTAGACAACCGGAAATGTAATGAGGGAACTGTGTGTGGTTTGTATTGAAACAAAGGCATGCATCCTGCACCCTTCGTTTCACCTTTCGGATATACCACACAGTGACACCCATCACGTTCATTCTTGTCATAATATGAGGCGAGTCTTTTGCAAACAATGAACTGAAACAAAGCAAGCGAACGCAAGTAGCGCCCTTTTTGCTGTATTTAACTGAAGCAAAAGCGGAACGAAATCCGCATGCCAACTGATGAAAGAAAGAAAGCACGCATTGCACGCACTACGCTCGTTTCATTTGTCTTTCTTCATTCATAAAGCCCTTCAGAAGGCCAAAGACAGGGAACACAGACATCCGAAGCATGGCGCCCGAACAGCAACTCAACTGGCTGATTCATGCCGCCACGAGCAACACCACGAGACCCGCCGATGGTTCCCAACCCACGTACATCGGTTGCCAAAGGCACTATCAACAGTCGAGCAGTTCTCGAAAACCGCCGAACTGCCGGCTTCCTGCAGGTAGCTGCTGGCATAGAGACCGCCTCCTTGCAAAAAAACATTGCAACGTGTTTCCGCATGTCAGGTCCACAATTCGCTTGCCGGGTGCTGACCAGCAGCATTTAGAGCTTCCACCGAAAACACATGTCTTGGCTTCGTTTAAAGCCTACCACCAGCTGTTGCAGCTACAGCGTTCGGTAAGCTTCCGCAGTACAGCAACCATGGTAAAGTGCTGGGCAGCTTATGGGGCTGAGGCTATGCTGCCCAGGCTCCGTGGTTGTCCGCAGTGCAGCGGCGGAAGATGGCAGAGCTGTTGGGACCCTGTCTGAAACTGTTCTCCACGTGCGCACCGCCCCCGGTGGCTGTAGCATCTGGGTTGACAGCACTCGCTCAGATTCAGAGTGCATACAGGGAGGGGTTCAGCAGTCGCCTTGCGGCGGCCCTATGATTTAACTAAGAGCCCCCTGCTACTTTAAATTTTGCATGCTGCTCCCAGGCAGCCATGAAGCCTTCAACGAAACCCAAGGGCAAGGCCGCTTCTTCCGGCGACGCGTCATCCGAGAGGGTTTAGGATTTAGGGTTTAGGGTTTAGGGTTAAGCTACATTAACTGGGTGTCGCCCCATCGACCCTCGAAGTGCAGAGGCCCGTTCCGACGTAAACTCAGACAAAAATGTCTCGAATCAGGCCTTCAACTATACTACGTGTCACCCTTCTTGAGGGCGCCCAAGATATCCCAAGATGACACGGGAGCTTCCGAACAGTAGGGGTACCTTATTTTGGGGTCCTTATAACAAGGACACTATTTAAATTTAGGGTACTGTATTGGGGTCCCCTATTTTTGGAAACTCCCTAAACCCTAAACCCTTAATAGAACCCTTATAGATCCCTTTAAGGAACCCTTAAAGGCTCCCCCATTTTCGGAAACTTTCATAGCCGAGGCTCCTCCATTTCTCGCAGCCGTGCACTTTTCGAAGGTCACCGTGCTTGCCTCTTGGAAGAAGCCTCCAGCAAAAAGGCCGCCACCTCAGAGGTTGGGGTTTAGGGGTGTAGGGTTTAGGGGTTTAGGGTTTAGGGTTTAGGGGTCTAGGGTTTACGGTTTAGGGTTTGGGGGTGTAGGGTTTAGCAGCTTTGGTTGGCCGAATCTTGCGGTTCTTGTTGAAAGGAGCTGCGGGGGCGAGTCAAAACCTACGCCTTGCAGTGGTCCTTTTCTCGACTATGAAGTAGACTGGCCGCCACAAATGGTAGGACCAAGGGTGGTGCAAGAAAAATCCCAAAGAGCGATCATTGAATCAAGCAACGGGAATAGATTTCGCACTAACAGCCTGCAAGTTTCGTCACGCCAACATCTCCCAGCTACGAAACTGGCCTCGTGGTGCTCTGCAGCTTTGGAACTTGACGTCACTGTGGCTGACCCTGAAATCTCGCTCGATGTACAAACCTCCTCCTTTTCCGCCAAAAGCCTCCGGCTGGCCGAACAGGTCAAAGGCCTGAGACTACATGGGGCAGGAGTCAACAGCTGGGTCTGTAGGTCTGTGTGTCTGTGTGGCTGTGTGTCGGCGTGTCTGTGTGTCTGTATGGCTGTGTGTCTGGTCTGTGTGTCTGGTCTGTGTGTCTTTGTGTCTGTGTGTCTGTCTGTGTGTCTGTCTGTGTGTCTGTCTGTGTGTCTGCGTGTCTGCATGTCTGTGTTTCTGTGTTTCTGTGCGTGTCTGTCTGTGTCCGTGTCTGCGCGTGTCTGAGTCCGTGTGTCGGTGTCTGTGTGCTTGTGTGGTGTGTCTTGTGTCATGTGTCTTGTGTCTTGTAATCTGTGTCTCATGTCGTGTGTCTTCTGTCTTGTATCTTGTGCCTTGTGTCTTGTGTCTTGTGCATTGTGACTTGTGCTTTGTGTGCCGTATGTCGTGTGTCTTGTGTCGCGTGTGTCTTGTGTATTGTGTTGCGTGTCTGGTGTCTCGTGTCTTGTGTCTTCTGTCGCGTCTTGTGGCTTGTGGCTGATTGCTTGCGCCTTGTGTCGTGTGTCTTCCGTCTTGTATCTTGTGCCTTGCGTGTTGCGTGTTGCGTGTCGCATGTCGTGTGTTGCATGTGCGGGTGACCCCTCGCAGCACGCAGCAGTACATTGAAGGGTCTTTACCGACACGCCCCTGCCTGCCACGTGTTTCTGCAGCCCACGAAGCTGGCGTTCGCGGACATCACCGTCATGCTCCCAAAGACCATGAAACCTCCATCATGCCGCAACACCGAAGTGCAACTCTGCAGACCTAGGTCTCAGTCTCCTGCAGCCCGAGATGCAGGGCCCATCCAACTCCTGCACGGCGGTGATCTGGATCTCACCCATCAAGACCAAGCTGCCTGCACAGGCGGTTCGTCCGCTCAAGCGGTAGCTCTGGAAACAGAACCCTAAACCCTTAACCCTAAACCCTATACTAGTAGTAATAGCAGCAGCAGTAGTGATAGTAGTACATGGTTCAACAGTTAAAACTCGTCGACTTGGCCACTCTATGGCCCGTGCCTCTCTGCGCAAGACTCGAGAAACCCACAGCCCCCGATTCTTCCCCGAACGGCCAGCACCCGGCGTCTATGCTCTATGCCTGGCCTTGGAAAGAGATTGGCTTCTTGAGGGCCACCTGCCCAGGGGCGGGTACGAGGTCTAGCTTTTTGGGCGCTTCGATCTCTGTGCGCAGGCCTGCAGCCCTGGATGCCCATGCCACGTGCAGCTAGTTCTGATGACGAGCGGCCTGTCAATGACCTCCACGCTTCTTGTAAGCCATCATTGACGGCTTGCTGTGTCTGCTTCAATAGACGGCAACTGTCAAAGGCATAAACACACTTTCTCGAGCCCAGGCGACATGGCTGCCATTGCCCGGAAGTCCATCGCAGTGAGGGTAGCCAGCCTGGGCTGTACTTGGAGGTTCATGGGTAGTTATAAGTGGGGTTATAAGTCCCCTAATATCGGTAGATACAACCATAGTTATTCTACTTACAGCCCTACTTATCACTACCCATGACCCTGCAAGTAAAGGAACTCGATGGAGCACAGGGCTTCGAATCCATAAGTTGCCAGAACTTATCTCAGTTCATGCGTTACATGGGTGCCCAAAGTGCCTTGCTCTTAAGGCCTGTACTGCAGTGTAGTGCATGCTAGATGCCCTGGGTGCCTCCAGAAGTATCGATAGGAAAAGTTGAAATGACTCCAGGGTTGAGTCGGCCTCCGTTGCGCTTGAATGCTGACTCCAAGCGATGCAGTCTATGAGAAGTCCAAGCAAGCCAGCACCGACCCAATTCCTCCCCTTCTTTGTCAAGGGCGTCAATCTGGTTTCATTCCCTAGAAGCCCAACTCTAGAAACTTTTGCCTCAAGCGGACTTTCAGAGTCCGGAAACTGGAACTAGGCTGGTGACTTCGATGAGTCAAGCAGCAACGCAGAACGGGATAGTATTCCCTGCAGTCTGTGTACAGCTACACCAGAATGTCCACCAAAACCCTGCGTTGATTATTTGTGCCCCTAGCTGCGCACTTGACAAAGCGAGCCTCAGCTCAGGGAAGAATCGATTTTACATCGTACCCTACCCGGTGTCAGGGTGCGGGTGCGACGCCATGGTGAGAGCACTCTGCATGTAGCGTTGCCGGAATACACAAATGTTTTGAGTAGGGTTATCTAGAGCAGGAGGAAGAAGGAACTCTGCAACTAGCTCGCGAGGCATTGAATACGATGCAAGGCTTTCAACCCTCTCGCGTAACGAGGTGGCGGATGTTTAGGATTGGTGATGCAGCATGTCCTTGCCGCCCGTTAGAAACATGGGGACGTCTCCGAATGCAGAAAACTCTTCCGTTGAAGGCGTATACCCTGAAGCTTCAAAGCTCTAAATCCTAAATCCTAAAATACTAAAGCCTCAGCAAGAACTTGGAGCCCTAAACCCTAGATTCAAGCAAGAAACTACAATGACTGCACCGTCCCTAAAGACGGCAAGACTCTCATTACTCCTGAAACCCCAAAGCCTGCTTCCACTTCAAAGGCATCGCCATGACAGTCCCTGACACGACTTATAACTACTCATGAACCTCCAAGTACTGTAGCACTAGCTCAACCCTAAACCCTAAACCCTAAACCCTAAACCCTAACCCCTAAACCCTAAACCCTAAACCCTAACCCCTAAACCCTAAACCCTAACCCCTAAACCCTAAACCCTAACCCCTAAACCCTAAACCCCAAACCCTAAACCCTAAACCCTAAACCCTAAACCCTAAAGCCCTCTAAGCTGCGCCGGGGCACCGGGTCGCTTCCGCCTTGCAGAAAAGCAGCTCCTGCCTTGCGACACGGCTCAACCCAGAGAGCCCAATACCCCTTAATTCAGGAATATGCCTAGTGCTTTAAGGGACCCTTTAAGGGATCTATAGGGGATCTATAGGGCTTAGGGTTTGGGGGACTCCGATATCCCTTAATTCAGGAATATGGCTGAAATCATCATATGAAGCCCTGTATAAATTCAGCCATATTCCTTAGTTAAGGGGTATTGGGCTCTCTGGGAACTTGCTCTGGGCTTGTGCTTTGCTCCGGACTTTTCGATGAGGCCAGTGCAACATTCCCAAAGCTTCACGGTTTCCACCCAGAACAGCCGGAATCCCCCCAGCCCCTAGCACCCTGAATACACACCCCGGAACCTCTGAGACCCTGATCTCTGCATGCCTTAACTCCGGCACCTTATATACTCCGAAATGGGCTTTGGGGTTCTTGCTGGCTTTGAACTCCCAGAACACGGCAGCGGGTGCACACTGAAAAGCTCATTCCAAACATGCGAGCATTCCAGACTTTCAAACGAATCCTGGTTACCCAACTGCAACGACTAGTCCGAAAGCCGAACTTTCGTCCTCGGATGCTATCTGCCGCGGGGGCATCAAAAAAGTCTATAATGTACGATAGAATATACTGTAATGTACGATGATGTACTGTAGTTATGCAGTAGTCCAAGCTTTCGCGAGAACGAGTCCTGTCTCCGCAGATCGGAACTCAGCCTCGAAGCAGCAGCCTACAGCCTGCAAAATCCAACAAAAATTCCCTCGGCGCGTGTCAGAAGGGCTCAGGGCATCGGGGTTTAGGGTTTAGAGGGTTTAAGGTTTAGGGTTTGGGTTTCAGGGGTTTAAATTAAAGAGTTTAGTGGAGTGGGTCTAGGGTTTTGCGTCAGAAGCGGAAGGCCTCGCGAATCCGGCGGTCATCGGGAGGCGCCACCTGAGCTGCAGCTCAGCTTGTGGAGTTTTCGAAGATATTATTATATAGTATACAGGCCTACGTAGAAATTATAAGAATCCGATAGAAACCAGCGGTTTGTGTGATCTACCGTAGACCCCGAAACGAAACCCGTAACCTGATGTGCCCATAGAGCCCAATCCCTTAACCTTCAAGCCTTCAACCCTGAACCCCGGACGCCAGACCCGAAACCGCAAGCCACTAAACTCTAAACCCCAAACCCTAGACCCAAAACTTCCAGAGCCCCTTAAACCCCATTATGGGTCATTCTAGATCCCTATAAGGAACCCTTAAAAATCCCTCTAAAGGAACCCCAGAGACCGCCTCTGTCTCCTGGAGTTGCGCAAAATCTTCTCGGGAGGGCCGCACGGCTCGGCTGGTGATCCAGAGCCCTGGGAGGAGCTTCTGGGCTTTGTATTATGATATATAGTACTGTAGTCCTGTATACTATATAATAATATCCAGTACTTTCTACAAAGTTATAGTAGCACCACGTAAATCTTTTCTGTTACTATCATCCTTACCATTGCTTTGAATACCACAACCATTCAGAGTGTGTTAAGGCTTAAGCCTACGACGGCAGCATTTTCTGCCGAGGCTCCCAGGAGGACCACGGTGAAGGCCGCAGGGGCCATCCGACCACATGGAATGCTTCCGCCGGCTGCACTGAACCGGGGAGCTTTTGAAAAAGTCAAACAACGGAGCCATGAGCTCTGGCTGTGAGCCAGGGCTGGGGAGCGGAGATCTTGAAAAACGCTGATTCAGGGCAATACAAGGGCTTGCCAAGGATCCAAAATCATATTACATGGTAATATGTAGTCATGATACACCAATATTTAATAATATTTATGTATTGTATGTATATGTGGAAATATATGTATATATATATACATATATATACACATATATATACACACACATATACATACGTGTTTTATATGTATGTGTATATATATATGTACATATTCATTCTCTTCTTCAGAAAGGCCCCAGGCCTAATCCGATATTTTTGAATCCACCATCGAATTTCACGTGGCACCAAGACAAGCCTGCCACACACTCTCAGGTTTCGGGTTCAAGGAACCGAAACGGCCTGAATTCCAGAGATTTTCAAGACAATGCCAATCAGTCGCCGAAACCAGCATGACGCTTCCTTAACAAAGGGCTAAGGGACCGACACAAAAAATGCGCTGCGACAAAGTCCTCGCAAGTTCACATTGAGCTTCCCTGAAGAGAAAAGCTACAAGCAATCACAGGTTTACCCATTTCTAGGTCAGTGTTGTCTTTTGCTGTCAAGTGCAATAGATGTGAATCTTTCACCAAATACATAGATGGAGCTCGATTTGATTTGTTGAACAGACTGTTTACAAGACGACAACAAACAAAGCTTCCGAATGCCCTTGGTTGCTCCAGTTTGTACGACCAAACACAGATCAGCCTTGGCAAGGTGCAAAAAAATTGCTCCATACAAAGAATTGGCACTCCAAGGCCCCAAGAATCTTTTTGAAACGAACCCCAAAGCTCATATCTTTCTGACTAAGAAGAAGCGTCACTTCTGCATTTAGATGGTGGAGTTTTCAAGCGAAGAATGCAACAGCTGTGTTCTTGCACGCTTCTCTTGCACACGCGCCAGGTTAGGGTCGCTCGTTGTCACGGGACTAAAACAACGGCCGGAGTCTTCGATTTGGACTCCTGCCTTTCCTTGGATAGTCTGGAGTCTCGGCGTCAGGCCGTAGTATGGCAGCGAACTAAACGACGGCTTCGCAGACAAAACCTGCTGGTACCAGCGAACCGTTTCACCGCTGTCTTGTTTGTTTTGCTTGTCGTGGTTTGGGCATCCAACTGCCCAACTACGCAGCAGTCTGCAGAGTGTCGTTTGCCAGCTTCTTCAAGCAGAGTTTTGTCCAGTGCTTGGAAGGCATCCGACTCGGTTCCTATGAGAAACAAGAAAGCAAGAAGAAAGAAGCAACAATCGACTGTACAAGGTGAGACAAGGTCACTGCGACATACAAACTTAGCCAGCAAAGTCGTTCAGCATTAATTAATGAGCATTCAAATTAAGTCGCCACTGCCACTCACATGCCGTGGGCTTGTGGCGAAAACTGCAGATGGGTCCGTCCATGACCTGGATAGGATGATGTACATTGTGCGTCGATGTGCATAGACCGCTTGACACCAATGTAAGCATCAGTCCATGCAAACTTTCACGACAAACTTACAGGTCGTCTGCGTGGGGTGGCGGCTGGCGTCTTCCCACGGCACCGCACCGATGAGAGAACCTGAGCATGCCCAATGTGAAGCCAATGGTGGAAGCGCCACAGACGGCAAGGGCCTCAGAGCCGCAAATGATCCAGGCCTCAAATCCCCACTCTCCCAGCCACCGCCGCTAAGCCGAATGGCCAGGGCAGGGCAGTGATGTGGCATCAAAGTTCGCGGGCCCGAGCCTATGCGCCAGCCCTACGGCTGCAGGCGAACCTGCGGTGCATGCCATCCCCAATAGTGAACCGCAAGGTCCCACAGAATCCGCCGAAAATGGGCAGGGTCCTCCATGTGCTCATCATTGAGAGTGTATAAAAAGGTCCACTCGCCAAGATCTTGGCGCCGATCGAGCTGTGCCCTGGTAAACAGATACGTGTTAGAGGGCTTGTGGTATTTGGGTACGAGCCGGTAGCCCAAAAAGGGGTAGCGCAGCCCGTCCGCCAGCCCCCCTTGCGCTCGAAATTGCCGGCCTCAAAGTTGATCCCGTCGCCTAATGTATAGGGCGGATACTCAACATAAGGGAACATCGGCACATCGGCAAAGTCCCTTCGGACAATCTCTGCAAAGCGTCCCTCCAGGGTGTGTCGGCCCATCAAGAAGAAGCGCTCGGGATACCACATGCTGATCCGCTTGGGCCCCGGGAGCCAGACGGCTAACGCTTGCTGGAGGTCGTAGCCGTCTTGTCGGGTCCACTGACGAACTCGCGCCAGCGCACCGGCTAGCAGACCCGCCGGCTGCAAGCTCAGCGTCGCGGCAGGCCTCAGGCCGAGTATAGCCACCACTCCTCGTTCCCAGGCATGCCTGAGGCGCCTCCCAATTTGCTCCTGTAAGGGGCAGATTTCTCGCAGTGCGAAAGACGCCGACAGACGCACCCCCACATGGTCGTGCCTACCCTCGCTGGCGGCTTGCTGATCGCTGTCTCGAAAGACCTCCAGAACCTCCACGCGCGGGTAGCAGTCAGGACGGCCCACGAGCAGACGCAAAACCAGAAGGAGCACCTGTATCGGCAAAAGGGCACTGCAGTACTGTAGCGGGGAAAGGCGTCGCCCCCTCCCCCCAGGGCCATAACTATAAAGCTACCGTCCCTGGCCAGCGTAGATGACGTGGTGGCCTGATCGGCCTGCTGCCATTGTGCGGCGATTTCATCCACCAGCAACCACCACCAGACCTGTGGTCGAGACAATTCCCTCCACGATTTGTCATCCGTGAGATGCTGGAGCGGCTCGCAGAGCTCTGCCAGTGCCGCACTGATCGCGATGAGAGGATTGACGCAGAGGCGCCACGCTTCGTCCTCCGTGCAGCACCGGAGCCGCTGAGCCGCATAGCTCTGTCAGCAAAACTGCAGATGTCGCATCCAAATTGATCGACGTTGATGCGTATTGACCCTGCCGTGAGGGACATCGGTAGGGACAATGCGTGTCACAGGCCGCCCGAGAGGGGAGGATGCCGCGCAGATAGTCCACGTGTTCGCTCACTGCTTGCTTATGTGGGGGGGCGCCCCAGCCCTGGAGCGCCATTCCCGTAAAATTTCCCGTTGCAGAGTAAGAGTGGCGGGATCATCCGTGGGCGCCACGTTGCTAGTGAGCCCTGTCAGGGCAGGGCGGTGCCGGGTGGGATGAGCGTCCAGAGCTTGAAGCAACTCGTTTAAATCCTCCTTTCATGACTTGGTTTGGAAAACGCAGGGGCAGCCCGCGCTATACAGCTCGTCCACATAGGCGGGGTCCTCCTTAACACCGGCTCCCGAACTGACTGTTCGCTGAAGGATCGCACGGCCGTGCCTGTCATACCCGGCAGCTGACAACCCCGCTGAGAGGGTGCCATCGTCGCTGAAGCGAAAGGATGCTATGTCGACCCCGGTCCCTACCAGCATGCTGAGACGATAACGGAGGAAGCTCATGAGCTCCTGCGTGGTGTGGTCTGTAGCAATGTGTGCAAAGTAGTAGCTACCCCGGAGGGAGGCGACCGCCCATCTCGTGTTGTGCCCATCCGTGCGGACTTCAGTAGCTTCGCCGTTAACGTCCACGCGGCCCTTAATGCCTCGAAAAAGCGAATCCTCAAAGGCTTCGTATAGTCGAGCCGGGGGTTTAGTCCCTCGTCCCCAATATGCCCGCAAGCCATATAAGGAAAGCTTATGGCCGTCCTCGTCATCCAGCGTAACTGCGTAGGGATCAATTGTGTCAAAGACCGGAAAGAAGTAGCTGGCCGTCATGGGCTGTCCGCGCCGTCCGGTCAGCGTCTTGTCAGGGCCTCGCAAATGCAATTGCACCCGGTGTCGTCCCGTATCATCATCATAGACCACAATCAATAGGGCCGTGGCGTCTACGATGGGCGGGAAAGCGCTGGCATTCCATCTCTGGTGGAAGTCCCTCACGATTTCCTGGTCGCTCCGAAGAGGCCGCCTCCATGTCGGCGGTAGCCCCTTATCAGCACACATCGTATGCCACTGCAGCAGCGAGCCGTGGAGTTTGGCGTGCATGCGCGCGGCAGCAAGCAATCCTGAAGCGTGGGCTGGAGACACCACCAGGAGCAGCCCGGTTCCCCGTGTAAGTGCCACCGTGAGTCGCTGATGCGCTGCTTCCCCACACTCAGTAAAGTCGGCAATCCTATCGACAATACAGAGGTTGACGGCTCCCGTAGATCCCGCGCAAGCCGTAGCTGAGAACAGGTCAATAAAGGGGCCAAGCTCTGCGTGTCGGTTGTCCAAGAACCTCCACACCGCCTCAGCTTGCTTGACCGTGGAAACCTTTTCCGGCGCCGGGAGCGATGGCTCCAGCTCGCGGGCCCATTCCGCAAGAAACTTCCCTTTGACTCCCTCGCTCGACTGAAGCTGCTCGTGTTGATCCGTCAGCCCTGCATTGCTCAGCCCCACAAAAGCCTGGAAGTTGTGGAGGAGACGATTGGCCGGGTTAACCAGCACAAGGCGTGTCCCTGCGTGATGTAGAGAGGAGTGAGGACGACCAACAGAAGGCTCCGTAAGCTGTCCTGTCTCCAGATACGAAGCCCCTCCTCCGACTCAGGGATCTCCAGGAATTGGAGTCCCGCCGGCTGCAAATGACCACGCGGGTCGCGAAGAGCGTTCTCCCTGGCAGTGCTCGAGGACGCCAGCCTGCCAACAACGGGCATTCCTGGCGACCTCCCAGGAGTGAGCTGCCAACGCACGGCCTGCGGATCGAGACGCTGCAATCAACAGGTAAACCTCCGTGAGCAGACGTGCCGAGCTGACTAGGCCAAGGTTGAACGCTACCCCATTGACAGCTTCCAAGCTCTTAGCTTGGAAGGTACTTCTGGCAGCCTTGAGTCGCGTTCCCATGGCAGCAAGATTCGCCATGTAAGTGAGGACTCCACGTGGTCCAACCGATTCAACCGGTGTAGCAAG